GAAAACTTTGCCTTCTTTTCCAACTGGTGCAGCCCAGAGGACACTGTCTCCTTCAGCCATAAGGGCCACTGGAAAGGAGACTTGACATGTGACTGAGACCTCATCTCCCTGAACTGGGCCTCATGCACAGCCACTCATTAGATCATTCACTTTTCCCTGAAGACATTGAAGAGGAGAGAAGTAGAAGGCAAATGTGTTGTGTGCTCTGATGCTTAACTGCATACTAGGGTCATTAAATTACCTGCCACTGATGACCCTGGTGCAGAGAAAAAGTGGCAATTTGCTTTTGTTTATAGTCACCCTGCTTACCTCAGCAGACAGCTTGCTCCTTTCCCCCGTGCACACCCTGGGTGGTTGGTGATCAAACTTAACTATTCGATCTGCATTAAACGTAGGCAAATCTTGTCAATTAAACAGCGTCATCTTCAGCAAATATGTAGGCTGTCCTTTGGGTAACAACACTCAATATCACAGATGCCTCCCCTTTCCCTGCCACTCTCTAAGGTGGCATGGACTAGGGGCGGGGGGCCTGAGGTGTTCTCCAGGTCCTGGGAAGGAACACGCCACCCTGCCTGCTCTGGTCCTGGAGTGCTGACACTCATTCTTTCATTGCTCCCAGGTGAAGCCCGAAGCTGCTGTAATTCAAGATCTGGTCTATATTGGGCTCCCCTACCCTCTCAGTTTCCACAGACTGGGGAGAGTCCTCTGAGGCATGGCTGTGAGCCTCAGGTCCTTGGCACAGGAGGCCCTGCCACAGAGACCCACTCAGGGCAGACTTCCTGTTAGGTTCTTGGCTACTTTTGGGTCCTGTTTGTGTCACTCGAATATCAAGGTCACCCCAGGAAAGCTAAAAAGTAGCCTCTTTAACATGGCTGTACCTTGCTATACTTGCCAGTTAGCCCAAGTCTTAATCAGGATATTCTATCCTGATTGTCATTTAGGACTTTAGGCTAAATGGGAATCAGGAGAGAAATACCCCTTTCCGTAGGTTCCCCTGAATTTATTGAACACACACACGGCAATACTGGTCCACATGTAGACCAGGCTTAACATGTACTTTGCATGATTTAATTCTCACAACACCCCTAGGAGGAAGATGTACAATTGTCATTCACATTGAATAAGTGAAGAAACTGAGGCACAAAGAGGTTGAACACCTTCCAAAGCCTTCCCCAGGATCACACAGCTCTATGGCAGAGGCTGGAGTGGGGTCACGGCTTGGCGGCTCTCCCCTCTCTGCTGAACCCTGGGGCCTCCTCCCTTTATTTCTCTGTGCTTCTCTTCCCTGCCGCCCGGCCTGAAAAAGGTGAGTTTTCTTTATTTCCCCCATGCCTGCTCTTCTACCACGAAGCTGGGCTATTTACCATATAAAGACTGGATTGGGTTCAGCTCCTTTTGAACCTTTTCTTCTGCATATTCAGAGAGAGACTGCGTTGATGTCAGCTGCCGGGCAAATGTTTCACTTCTTCCACTGTCCACTTCGGAAGAACTCTGGGGACTGCCAAGACTGGCTGGTGGCAGTCATCCAACTCCTATGTGGAGATCTATCCAGAATGTGTCCTCGAGAGCCTCGCTCAGCTATCAGCTCCACCTCGGCAGCTAATCATATCCCTGTGGACACACGTGGCCAGACTGCTTCCTCCGGCAGCAGCAAGGAATTTGGCCAGGACTGGCCTCTCACCCTCTCCCGCCTGGGCACCCTAAGTATCAGCAGGCTGCTGGCTGTGGTGGCTCCAGAAGGGAGGTACGTCCTTCTGTCTTCATCTTGTACCCCAAGTGACCTCAGACAAACAGGATCGGAGTTGACAGTGTTCCCCATCAAGGCCACACACTTTTCAAATGCCTTATACATGTGCACCTGCAGAACCCAGGGTTTTGCTCAGATTTCTGGGTCCCCTATCAAAACTTTTAAATAGACAGTTTAAGCCTTATGAGGTGTGATTCTATTGCTCAATTAGCAGTAGCTTTATGTGCAAAGACTAGCTTTGTAAGGCATTACAAACTTATAAAATGTGAATGGAATCTATGGCAGGCGGGTCTCTCCATAAAGGACCATGTTCTAAACTACTTCATAGATTTCTTTTTTTTCAGTCATTTAACAAATATTTTTAAGTAGAATCTCTTCTTCCTCTTCATTTCCAGATAATACTATTTGTGATTCCTTTCAAATCCCATAGCAATGGTTCTCAACCTGGTATACTAGGATTCTTTTTTTTTTTTTTTGAGACAGAGTCTTGCTCTGACGCCAGGCTGGAGTCATGTGGTGCAATCTCGGTTCACTGCAACCTCTGCCTCCCAGGTTCAACAATTCTCCTGCCTCAACCTCTTGAGTGGCTGGGATTACAGGCAATGTGCCACCACGCCTGGCTATTTTTTGTATTTTTAGTAGAGATGGGGTTTCACCACGTTAGTCGGGCTGGTCTCGAACTCCTGACTTTGTGATCCTCCTGCCTTGGCCTCCCAAAGTGCTGGGATTACAGGCATGAGCCACTGTGCCCGGCCTATATTAGGGTTCTTATGTGTCCTGAAGGGCACTAAGGGAGGTCTTTAATATAGTTTCAGTATTTCTTACAGAAAATAGACTTTTATGATAAGGTTGTACTTATGAATTAAAAACATTTCTTTGCCTTCAAGTGAAATAATAAATGACCCAAGTGGCATCCATGCATATCTGATGACCACTCTTTAACTGAAATATATGAAAGTGTAAATAATTCATAACATGATAAAAGAACTTTGGAAGATGGACACTTTTGCTCTGTGGTGTTCACGTGGGGAAATGATGCCCACTCATGAGAGGACAGGGTCCTGCTGCTGCTGCATTGTCACCACAGTCATGTCTACTTGCCCCTTGGCAGGTCACAGTATCATTGTCACTGTGAAATTGTCTTTTGTGCTTATTACAAAAACTTCTGATTAGAGAGGATGTCAACACATAGTGGCTGAGAAGTCCATCTTTTGGTTCAAGCATGCCCCAGCGTTCAGTGGCCACTGAGGCCCTAGATCATTCTGGGTTTCACCAACTAGATAATAAAAATTGTCAGGCCAGGCACAGTGGCTCATGCCTGTAACCCCAGCACTTTGAGAGGCTGAGGTGGGAGAATCACTTGAGATCAGGGGTTCAAAACCAGCCTGGGCAACATGGTGAAACCCTGTCTCTACTGAAAATACAAAAGTTAGCCAGGTGTGGTGTCTGTAATCCCAGCTGCTCGGGAGACTGAGACAGAGAATTGCTTGAACCCCCAGGGGTGGAGGTTGCAGTGAGTCAATACTGTGCCAGAGTACTCCAGCCTGGGCAACAGAATGAGACTCCGTCTCAAAAAAAACATTGTCATCTTTCTTTATCACAAACTGGAGCTGTTGCAATTGGTAATCCATGCTCAGCGGATTCACTGAGCCCTTTCTTCTAGACCACCCTCATTGTAAAAAAAAACAAAACAAAACTGGGGACCCTTATAGTGGAGCTGTGGCTCCAGGGGGCCATCTGGCGTGTCATCAGGAGGAAAAATGCCCCTACACCTGCAGTGACAGTGCCCTCTGCTGCTCCTGTCTCTCTGCAGAAATGGGATGGGAGAATGCAGGCCTCTTAGTGTCAAGTTTTTTATTTGATCATTAGAACCTCAGTTCACTGGAGAGCTTCAACAAACATTTTGAGTGTTGCTTTTCTGCCGTAAATGTGGGCAATACAGAAAGGAAGGTCATTATGAATGCCCTCACAAAGCTCACAGTCTGGTGGGAAACCAGACCTGTAACACCTAGCTAGGTGCTAGAGGATGCGTGGAATCCTGTGTGTGCTTGGAAGAAGGTGTTATGAAGCAGGTTAGGGAAAGTACAACGTTCTGGGAGGGAAGGGTGGTGGCAGAAAGCTTCACAGAAGAGGTGGCATTTGAATTGGCTCACTGAAGGGTAACGATTTCGTGGGGGCAGAAGCAGTTGGGGATTCTGGCTTTACTTTGAAAACACTTAAGAGGTGGAGGAGAGGCCGAGCATCGTGGCTCATGCCTGTAATTCTAGCACTTTGGGAGGCTGAGGTGGGCGGATCACCTGAGGTCAGGAGTTTAAGACCAGCCAGTCCAACATGGTGAAACCCATCTCTATGAAAAAAAAAAATTACAAAAATTAGTCTGGCATGGTGGTGGGTGCCTGTAGTCCTGGCCACCTGGGAGGCTGAGGCAGGAGAATTGCTTGAACCAGGGTGGCAGAGGCTGAAGTGAGCCTAGATTGTGCCACTGCACTCCAGCAGGGGCAACAGTGAGACTGTCTCAAAACAACAACAACAAAAATCAGGTGGAGGAGATAAGCTTCCCAAATGTCCTTTTGATTAATCATTCCAAGTTGTTGATGGCTTCTTTTCCCAACTTGCAGATTTCTTAAACATTCATTCCACTGGTTTCACCTGTCTCATATAATCTCCTTGTTTAATGCAGTGGTTCTCAGGAAAGTTTGGCCCACCTGCTGGGAACATCAGAATCTTTGTTTTTTTTTTGAGACAGAATCTCGCTCTGTTGCCCAGGCTGGAGTGCAGTGGTGCCATCTCGGCCCACTGCAACCTCTGCCTCCCGGGTTCTGTTCAAGCGATTTTCCTGCCTCAGGCTTCCCAGTAGCTGGGACTACAGGCGCACGCCACCACGCACAGCTAATATTTTGTATTTTTAGTAGAGACGGAGTTTCATCGTGTTAGCCAGGATGGTCTCAATCTCCCGATTTGTGATCTGCCTGCCTCCGCCTCTTAAAGTGCTGGGATTACAGGCGGGAGCCATCATGTCCAGCCCAACATCAGAATCTTCTAGGAACTGGGTAGAAATGCAAATTCTTGGGCCCCAACCTAACTGCTGAATCTGAAGCTCTTGGAATTTCCTCTGATAAATTCGAGGTTGACAGCCACAGTTCTAACATACAGACCTTGGGAGCTGATACAGAGGCTGAGAACGATCTAGGTACTTTCCATGTTCCATCTTGGCGAGACCTGGCTGAGGTTACTGCCCTGACCTTCTCGTCCACGACTCGGACGTGTGGAGCAGCCACCCGGGCGGGCTGGTGGCGTGGTCCTCTTGGGCAGATTTTTGGGCAGGGTCGTGCCTGCTTGAGGGCAGAGGCGCTGGTCACAGGGCCCTTACACAGACTCATATTTTCCCCCTCAAAGCGGATAGAGCCTTAGCAAAGCCATGGCAGCTGGCTTTGGGGTACTGGGGGCCTCAGTCACGCTGAGAGATGCAGCCCTCCTGGGGTTATTCCGAGCGCCTGGGAGAGTGGTCACTCCCACCCCGGAGGGGGAAGGGTGGCCTGTTTCCAAGTCCGGCTTGGTCAGGTGACAGCGGCGCGCCATACTCAGCAGCAATAATACGGAAGAACAGCGCTGGTGAGGCCGCGCCAGCCTGCAAAGAAGACAGCCGGCCCGCGCGGGGACATGCGGCCCCGGGAGCTCCCCGGGCTCGCGCTCTCGCTGCTGCTGCTGCCGCTGCTGCTGCCGCCTTGCCCTGCCCGCAGTGCTGCGCGCTTCGACCCCACCTGGGAGTCCCTGGACGCCCGCCAGCTGCCCGCGTGGTTCGACCAGGCCAAGTTCGGCATCTTCATCCACTGGGGCGTGTTTTCCGTGCCCAGCTTCGGTAGCGAGTGGTTCTGGTGAGTGCGCTCCCTTCCGCCTCCTCCTTGGCGCTCTTGACCCTACCGGCAGGCTCCAGCCACTACCCAGCGGGCCTCGTTCGCCGCCTGGTGCTGCCTACACCCTAGTCGGTTTCACCTCCCACTGCGTTACCGGCGTTTCGCACTTCCGGGTGTCGAATGTGGCGTTTCTTGCCTAAGTGGTTCGTGCTGAGTAAACAAGGAATTTTTCTTCCGTGTAACTGCAAGAGTTTTCAGACACACCTGACTCCTCAGCTTCTTGACAGTTGCGCATATGAAGCTGTAGTTATGACACTACGACATCGAGCTACTAGACACATTCATCAGTTTGTGCAGGGCATCACATGAGCGCGGACTCAGACACAATGGCTCATGGTTGCTCTGCCAATTTGCAGTCATTCTGCAGTGAACTTATGGTTAAAACATAGTCACGAGTATGTGAAATGACTGTTCATTTGAACACCATTGGCTATTTAACGTTAACATGTTACCCATGTGTGGCTCCAGGAACTTTTAAAAGAGGTTCTAGAATGGTACTTTTTTTTTAATATATAAAGAGCTTTATTGAGGTATAATTACACTTAGGCACCATAAAATTCACTTGTTAAGCATACAATTTTAGTACATTCACGGACTTGTGCATCCATCACAACAATGCAGTTTTAGAACATTTTCCATCATCCGAAAGAGATTGCTCCCGCCGGTGTGCTGCGAATCCTGTTCTCACAGCCTCAGGCAATCACTAGTCTGCTTTGTGTCTCTGTATTTTGCCTTTTCTGGACATTTCATAAAGCATCTTTTTTTTTTTTTTTTGTAGCTTTAAGTATTCCTGTTACTCATGGCATATGGATATGCAACTGCTAATGGAATCCACATTCAGGCAACAGCAAGAGTGAGGAGAAAATCATGGCCAACAATATGGTATAGTGGAAAGAGCCTCAAGTCTGGGAGACTCAGTTTTGGTCTCAGCTATTCTCCTAACCAGCTGTTTGCCTTTGTTTTTTTAGAGATGGGGTCTTGCTCTGTTGCCCAGGCTGGAGTGCAGTGGTGTGAACATGGTTCACTGTAGCCTTGAACTCCTGAGCTTAAGGAGTCCTCCCACCTCAGCCTCCTGGGGTGCTGGGATTACAGGCATGAGCCACTGCGCCCAGCCGGCTGGCCAGTTTAAAAATTTATAAAAGACAAACAGGCTGGATGCGGTGGCTCATGCCTGTAATTCCAGCACTTTGGGAGGTCAAGACAGGCGGATTGCTTGATCCCTGGTGTTCGAGACCAGCCTGGGCAACATGGTGAGACTGCATCTCTACACAACACACACACACACACACACACAATCAGCCAGGCATAGTAGCACATGCCTATAATCCCAGCTACTCTAGAATGGTACTCTTAACACAACCCAGTTATACTGCCATATGAAAGGTGCTGCACAAAAATCTGTGCTTTAGATTTTACTTTGAGATCTATGTGAAAATGTGCATATAATTTCTTAAACTGTTGCACATGTCTTTTCTGGCTAAATGCTACAAGTATTAAGTTCTTTAAAATAGAAGTATTTTGTGTGCATATATAGATACATGCACATAATATATTCTTTTATTTTATATATTTATTTAGAGACGGAATCTGACTCTGTCGCCCAGGTTGGAGTGCAGTGGGGTGATCTTGGCTCACTGCAACCTTCGCCTACCGGGCTCCAGCGATTCTCATGCCTCAGCCTATGGAGTAGCTGGGACTACAGGCATGCGCCACCATGCAGGCTAATTTTTTGTATTTTTTAGTAGAGACAGGGATTTGCCATGTTGGCCAGGCTGGTCTCAAACTCCTGACCTCAGGTGATCGGCAGTGGCTCATGCCTGTAATCCCAGCACTTTGGGGCACATAATATATTCTTAAGTAAAATAAAGAATCATTAAACAGTAAGTATTTATTTGAATCAACTATATACTACATAAATAGTATACATCCAAATTAACATACTATATTTAATAGACACAATATAGAATATGAGCTATATGTTATATTAACATTACATAGTATACACTGTACCATGCTTCCTGTAGGAGTAGAAAAATTGCACCGCCATTCCGTTAGGGTCTCTGCTAGGTCCGAGAATTAAATTGACATTGTGTGATTAAATTATATGGGGAGGCTTAAAAAATAAGAGTTATTTGAACAAGGTCTGTACAGTATTCTACTTCTTGTCTGTGAAGCTTAGGATGTTGCCTTTTCTTCTAGTATAGAGTATCTTTCACACTGGAATTTCATCTTCTGCTCCTAAGAAACAGCACAAAGGTCAAAGTGCTCTTCATGCTTCAGCTATTTTTCAAGTTTCTTTACCTTTAATAATATGCCACAGTAGCGTATTTTAGCCCTTCATTACAAAGAGATTGACTACCTGCAACCAGTAACCTTTCTTATTAGTAGGTCAGTTGATGTAAAAAATAAAACTGGGTAAGCTATGGAGAATTATTCATATACTTTAAATAATTCAACTTGTAAAACAGAGACTCTTTCTTCTTATACCAAAACATAGCTACTTCGAAAAGATGTTACAAACATTTATTTGCATGTTTTGGGCTGTAAGGAATCTTGAGTTTATTTTGGAAATGTTTTAGATTAGTGTGGTACATAATTAACACATTTTCTTCCCCCTAAATTGTATCTTATATTATCATTTTGTTCAATCATGAAGATTAGGTAAAGATATATTGGTACCAGAAAAGGATTTGACATTTGTTAAAACTAGTACTATGCCAAAATAAAACAGCTACTTTTGAGTCATTTTATTCTTTGCTACAAATAACTTAATTTTCTACAAATAAACCCATGGTGGTTTGTTTTGACCTAGAACAATAAAGATACTTCTCATACTAAACAAAATAGAGAACACATTTCTGAAGATCTGGAAATGCATTAACCCTGTGGAAGATTTTTAAATTATCTATGATTTCCCTTTGTATCCTCTGCTCCTTACTCTCAATTTGACTTTCGGGCAATCAACTGTACAGATGAGTATATCTGACTGTCCTAAATGGCTAGTAAAAAGCAAATATAAATGATGGACTTGCTACCATAAATGCCTCTTTTCATCTCTCAGCATGAAATTTGAGTCTAAACTGTAGGGGAGAATGCAGGTTCAAATTAGATGATGCTAGGAGAAATTCCCTCCTTTTTTCAACTTTCTGAATGTCCAGTTTCTCTTTTGCAGTTCAATTTAAAAGGTAATGCCTATAGTCCCAGCTACTTAGGAGGGTGAGGTGGGAGAGCCCAGGAGTTCAAGACTGTGGTGAGGTATGATTATGCCACTGCATTCCAACCTGGGTGATAGAGCAAGACCCTGTCTCAACTAATCAATCAATAATAAATAAATAATAAAAATGCTTCAAGGATCCGTTAGGATACTTTCACTTTAAGGTATCAAAAACCCAAGAAAAAGGTATAATGATAGGGGGTTATATTATTTCACATAACAAGAAATTTAGAGGTAGTTGGTTCATTGATGAAATGAAAGACATAGGCTTTTTCTGTCATCCTTAGTCTGGGGACTTGTCCCTTCATGGTCACATGATGGCAGCCAGGCATCATAGCTTCACACAACCTTGCACAAAGGCAGGAGGACCAGTGTCTCTTTTCATTAGGAGGGAAACCATGTCCAGAATTCTCAAAGTCTACTTACCCTAAAGTTCCCTTGGCCACGATGGATCTTACATCCCTGTTTTAGCTGTAGTGGAAGCTGGGAAATTAGGTAAATATGACTTTTGGGTAGGCAAACAACATGCCTGCCACATAGTATGCCCTTCAATTATGTCTTCTTAGCAGAAAGAGTCTCCTGATCATCTTATGAAATGTAGCGCTGATTATGGATTTGCTTATCCTGTAGAAATACTCTTATGAAAGGAATGGTCATAGAAAAAGTAGGAGGTGGGTCAGAAATGGGGGTTGCATCTATTTCATGAGGATGGTTATTCTGTGTTTAAAATGTTTAGATGTGCTTTTCCTCATGATGTCTTGCTTATGCAGTTTAGGATCAATATACCAATGCTCAGAATGAATGCATATAGCAAGTAATCCTTGAAGGTTGAGTCCATTAATTAAAATAACAACATCATCTTAATTTTATTGTTGCGTCTCTTTCTGTGCTGTGCCTCCAAAGTGTTCTCTACTGGTGAATATAATAGATGCATGTTATGTTTTAGGCATGTAGTCTTCCGTTCAGAAGCCCTAGTCACTTACGTTACAAAGGACAATGTGTAATAACACATACTACATGTTGTGATTTAAAGGTGAAGAATTAAAAGAGAAAGGGGCTGGGAATGGTGACTCATGCTATAATCCTGACTTTGGGAGGCTGAGGCAGGAGGGTTGCTTGAGCCCAGGAGTTTAAGACCAGCCTGGGCAACACATGGAAACCACATTTCCACAAAGAAAAAAAAAATAGCCAGGTGTGGTGACACATGCCTGTAGTCCCAGCTACTCAGGAGGCTGAGGCGAGAGGATCCCTTGTGCCCAGGAGGTCAAGGTTGCACTACTGCACTCCAAACTGAGTGACAGAGTGAGATCCTGTCTTAAAAAAAAAGAGAGAATGGGTAGCTGAGTTGCTTAGAATGCTCTAGTTTATGAGCCAAGTGGATTTCACAGGGGGATAGATAGAGAGGGGAGTTTAGTTTGCATAAGCTTTCTTAAAGAAAGCCAAGTCAAACCAATGGGGAAGTGAGAAACAGAATATGGGTCCTACTGTATCTGAATGAGGGGTAAATGGTAAAGGGAGCTGGAGCAGTTCTTTTAAATGTGTGTGTATGTGTTGTTTATACGGTCTTTCCTTTCCTCCCCTTAGGTGGTATTGGCAAAAGGAAAAGATACCGAAGTATGTGGAATTCATGAAAGATAATTACCCTCCTAGTTTCAAATATGAAGATTTTGGACCACTATTTACAGCAAAATTTTTTAATGCCAACCAGTGGGCAGATATTTTTCAGGCCTCTGGTGCCAAATACATTGTCTTAACTTCAAAACATCACGAAGGTAAGTCAATCCAGCGTATGCAAATTGCTGACAATTGTTAAGAAATAAAAAGTTGTCATTTTGGAAGAAAAAACTAAAGCAAGGTCTAATTTTCTCTTAGGAGCAACCATAAGTGGTGATTGACACTTGCTTATAACTTAGGGACTGCATGTTCAACCAAATTGAAAGATATTATGAATACAGAAAGAATCAAACCCTCCACATAACAGAGGAAAGATGGTCACACTTTGTTACATGTATATTGAACAATATTTCCAAGATTTCCTTAAAGCTGTTTGCCGAAGGGAGTGTGAGTTGTAAGTCAAAATTCATCATTGGAACTGCACTCTTTCCTTCCCTTTCTCTGCAATGCAACCTGTGAATGCATCATGGAGGTTACACTGCTATAGTCTGACATCACTACGATACACCTGGCTGCCCTTTTAGCCAAGTCCTAGCCAAATGGTACAAATAGTGGATGAATTGATAGTGATGAAAGTGACCAAGATCACTCGGAGGGAAAAGGATTGTAGAATTGTAATGGTTCCCAGAAAAATCAGAGGTGGTGGAAGAATACCTAAAAAACCCCACAGTCATCCTATTTTAATAGAATAGATTCAACCCATTACCATTCCAATATTTGTAACGCCAAGGAAGCATTAACAAATTGTTTTCGTTCCAACTGCTTGTTAATTTATCAGTTTCTTTTGCATGATCATTTTTGTCTTGGTATAAAAAAATTTGCACTGGATGTGGTCACCCATGCCTGTAATCCCAAAACTTTGGGAGGTCAAGGAAGGAGGATCATTTGAGCCCAGGGGTTTGAGATCAGCCTGGGCAACATAGTGAGACCTTATCTCTACAAACAAAACAAAACAAAACCTAAAAAATTAGCATGGTGGCATGTCTCCGGAGTCCCAGCTACTTGGGAGGCACAGGTGGGAGGACTGCTTGAGCCTGGGTGATTGTGATTGAGGCTGCAACAATGAGTGGAGATAGGGCCCTACACTCCAGTTTGGGCAGCAGAGGGAGATCTTGTCTCAAAAAAAAAAAAAAAAAAAAAAGAAAAAGGAAAGAAAGAAATTTTGTTTTCTTGTTTTCTCCAGGGACGGGATGGGAATAGGAGAGGAGAACCGAAGCAAAAAATCTGGAATTATCAGTGGATAGTTTTCCCTTTGGCCACATTCTGGTAGTTTCATGATTTTCTCCTTTAGATGTTTCTCCTGCTGAGATGGATATCTATAAAGTGTATTTGCTTGAGAACATGCTGATTTCCTGATGTCTAGGAACTTTCCCAACCTGTATGGCATAATGTATTACATAGTGAGTTTATTTAATAAAAATTCATAATCAAACTGTGAGGACAGATGATGTAGCCCACACTTATACATTTTCTAGGACCCATGTTGTCAGATGTTTTCATTGCTTGTGGAAAATTCATGCTATGCTCAGGAAGGACGATCACTGTGTGAGCTTCTGGTGGTGATATTAAAATGAAGACCCATGTGGTTTTAGTACTCTCTGACATTAGGGCCTGTCAAGTTGAAAAATTTTGAATATGATTTTAGATATTGACACTGCTCTGAAGCTTACCACAGACATGATAGGAACAAGAGTGAGCTGTTTTAAAAAGCTTATTTAAATGAATATAAGGCCAGGTGCAGTGGCTCACTTCTATAATCCCAACACTTTGGGAGGCTGAGGAAGGAGGACTGCCTGAGGCCAGGAGTTTGAGACCAGCCTAGGCAGCAAAGTGAGACCCTGTCTCTGAAAAAATAAACAAAATTAGCTGGGCGTGGTGGAGCACACCTGTAGTCCTAGCTACTTGGGAGGCTGAGGTGGGAGGAACACTTGGGCCCAGGAGGTCAAGGATGCAGTGAGCCAAGGTCGCACCACTGAACTCCAGCCTAGGTGTCAGAGCCAGAATCTGTCTCAAAAAAAAAAAAAAAAAAAAAAAAAATCAAAAGTGTGAGTCAACCTTAAACTTGTTCTAATTTACCAAGAGTAAAGTGTTTCACCAAATGTATCATAAATGTCTGTTCTGAAAGATTCTTTTAGATTTTAGTGGAATAGTAACAACGTACTTAATTCTCCAGGCACTAATGAAATTTTTGAGGCTTTCATATTTATTATGTTTTTAAGCATTTCAGTTTATCTATCTCTTCTAACATTTTATGTACAACAACCAGCAATCTAAATGCAAATTCCTGTTAAAAATGAACCATTTCTAAGTGTTGCATAAAGGTACACATTATTTTTCACATCTATGTAGTTGGTAGACTATTCGCTTTTGGGTAATTTTATTAAAGAGGACCCTCCAAGCTTATGACTTTATAGTAGAATGAGATTACACGTGGTGAGTATATTTTAAAGTATAGAACCATTGGGAAACAGTTTTTTTTTTCCCCTCTGCTTAAGTGAATAATCAAGCTAAAAGAGATTTGCTGTGCATGGATCATCAGTGTTCTAAGAATCACACTATAATAAACAATCCTAAAACTAAGCAGTAGCCTTCAAGCTTTGGTTTAGAAGACACTAAGAATCTTGCAGGAGTGCATCTCAGGATCTTCGTAATACACAGTAGTAGTCGTCATTCAGCACGGTACACGTATATGTTCCCATCTTAGTTGTGAGCTGCTATTGTCGATTGTTTATTTTGTGCTATGCCTGGTGCTAGCAGTTGGCTAAAGGCAGAGCAGAGAGCACTTCAGACATGATGCTATCCCTCAAGGACTTTAAAATCTAAGAGGGAAAATACTGGAGATCGATAAGACCATACAACCATCTAACTTTTGGGGTACAATGATGTACCCTGAAAGTTGCTTTTAAAAACCTTGATCTCACCTTGTTTAAATTCTCATTTCTCATATAAAAGCACCACATATGCTATGAAAAAGTTGCCATAAACCAGTCATTTGTAGGAGCAGGTATTTATATATCACATGTACTATGTGACTTGTTTTGGCATTTGTGTGGGTTGAAATTTACTACAATAAAGTTGACATGCTTACAAGGGCTTTCACTATAATTTTCTAGGCTTTACCTTGTGGGGTTCAGAGTATTCGTGGAACTGGAATGCCATAGATGAGGGGCCCAAGAGGGACATTGTCAAGGAACTTGAGGTAACCATTAGGAACAGAACTGACCTGCGTTTTGGACTGTACTATTCCCTTTTTGAATGGTTTCATCCGCTCTTCCTTGAGGATGAATCCAGTTCATTCCATAAGCGGCAATTTCCAGTTTCTAAGACATTGCCAGAGCTCTATGAGCTAGTGAACACCTATCAGCCTGAGATACTGTGGTCGGATGGTGACGGAGGAGCACCAGATCAATACTGGAACAGCACAGGCTTCTTGGCCTGGCTATATAATGAAAGGTATGTATGCTATGAGATCGCTGCAGTTACTCTCCACATTCCTAATATATTTCCAATACTTTAATACCTTTGCTTCCTAAAATATTTCCTTTTAAGTCATTGGTGATATGGCGGGAGAAAATCATTGTAAATAATACTTATTAGCTATATTACTATTTACTCAACATAATCAAGGGTAAACAAATCAGGAGTAAAATCGAACTCAATGGTCTGACTTTGAGATCAGACTAAAAATCACAGGACCAAGAACTGCGAAGGTGTTAACGTTGTGGATCCCCCCCTTTTCTCTCCTACTCTGGTCCTTGATGGCCTCTATTCTGGGACAACTCTGTTTATTCATCCCTATTTCTGATAATGTGCTTCTGAATCCCTCTGACTGCTTCTTTTTATCCTTTTACCTTTTGGTCATCTTTGCTGCCCAGTCAGCGTCACCCTTGTCTGTCTCCTCTTTTCCTTTATCAGCAGCATTTTCACTTTCTCCAGTTTTTTCCTATTGCTTGCTGGTATGCTCAAGGCTGCCCTATTAGAACAGGGAGTTCTGATTAAACTATATGGACCAAATTTGCATGTACACTAGAAAACACTGGGTATTGTGCTATGAAGTCAGGAAGCCTTCTGCTTGCACCTTCTGGGTCCACACAGGGTACAGATATAAATAATCTGAAGAACCCTTGATACTTAAAACAGCAATGTGTCCAGGTACTCCTTCCAAGGGAAAAGACTGGGAGCCATCACTTCAATTTGTTATTCAAAACTGTCCTCTCTATGTGGCGTGGATTTCCCTCTAACTATACCACCTGCTATGATAAATAATGTTGTGGGGATATTTCAGATAACATCAACAAATTTTCTGAGGTTTTTCAATATTAGGCACAATTGTAAGAGAAAGAGAAAGTCTAGACTATATGTATGAGATCATTGAATCACTGGAAAGAAAAGTGTCTTGGGTATAAATTCAGTTTTGACTACCATTTACAATATGGAAGGGAGGTTAAAATAATCATATAATAATCTTATGAGTGCTATATGTGCTGGGTACTAGGCTAAATGTTTTACATAACTTATTTTTGTTCTAATCATAGATGAGGAAATTCATTATTCAGAGGAGCCAGGGAACTTGCTCTAGGTCTGGGAGCTAGAAAGTGACAAAGCCAGGACTCCAATTAACCCAGTTCTGTTTGACTTCAAAACCATGGGCTTTTCATTGTACTATGCCATGGTCCCTTGTTAGAAATGTATTTCAATTAGATATCTTTTTAGTGGCATTTCTTTTTGTATAAAAAGTTTATACCTTTGGCCGGACATGGTGGCTCACGCCTATAATCCCAGCACTTTGGGAGGCCGAGGCGGGTGGATCACAAGGTCAAGAGATCGAGACCATCCTGGTCAACAAGGTGAAACCTCGTCTCTACTAAAAATACAAAAAAAATTAGCTGGGCATGATGGTGCGTGCCTGTAGTCCCAGCTACTCGGGAGGCTGAGGCAGAAGAATTGCTTGAACCCAGGAGGCGGAGGTTGCGGTGAGCCGAGATTGTGCCATTGCACTCCAGTCTGGGCAACAACAGTGAAACTTCGTCTCAAAAAAAAAAAAAAAAAAAAAAAAAAGTTTATACCTTTTGTTTTAAAAAATTGTATGTTTTATTTCAGCCCAGTTCGCGATACAGTAGTCACCAATGATCGTTGGGGAGCTGGTAGCATCTGTAAGCATGGTGGCTTCTATACCTGCAGTGATCGTTATAACCCAGGACATCTTTTGCCACATAAATGGGAAAACTGCATGACAATAGACAAGCTGTCCTGGGGCTACAGGAGGAATGCTGGAATCTCTGACTATCTTACAATTGAAGAATTGGTGAAGGTACAGTAAAATGTCTGGTGGCTATTAACGTAATATTCTTAATAGTGTGGTCATGTAGGAATTATTTCTTATAATTTGTATAGCTCAGTGGCCTATCAATGTAGGACACTGTTCTATCCTGCATTTGTTCTGCTAAGCAGTGACTAAATATACATGTATAAATATATAAATGCAACATATTAACACATTAAAGATATAATTATTTATCTAAAAACCTTTATTCTTAATTTTTTAGCAACTTGTAGAAACGGTTTCATGTGGAGGAAATCTTTTGATGAATATTGGGCCCACACTAGATGGCACCATTTCTGTAGTTTTTGAGGAGCGACTGAGGCAAATGGGGTCCTGGCTAAGAGTCAATGGAGAAGCTATTTATGAAACTCATACCTGGCGATCCCAGAATGACACTGTCACCTCAGATATGTGGTAAGTCATTCTTGTTCCAAGTCTCTTTTATAAAGGGAGAGATTTAAAATTTATCAGACATACAAAGAGTAGGATAAAAAGAAAAATTGGATTAATTCCTATTTATATAAAGCACTTTCCAAACTTTGCTTACTCTAATATAAAGAGAAGGGGAAGAATTTGCATGTTTTTGAACATTTATTGTTTACCAAATTGAGCTTACATCATCTCTGTGTATCTCCCAGTGGTGGACAAATTTTGGCTGAAAGTAGTCAGCTCTTAGAAAAATTGTAAGCCATTTAGACCAACAAAAAACGCTGAATGGTTAGTCTAAAACAAAGACTACTATTTATTTAGTTCTGTAAATTCTGACTTTTGCAGATGTTGCATCCCATGAAATTAGCAAACAAGAGGTACCCAATGGCAGAGAAAATGTTAGGTTAAAAATGATTCAAAATAGGGAGGATTCTGGGAAGATATTTCTCTCTGAGATTGGAAAGGTTCTGTGTGTCAATGAGTGTCTGAGTCAGACACAAATATGACAGTTTCTGATATGGTTTCTTAACATACATAAAATAAGAGTAGTAGCGGCAAAGTTCTAAAAATTCACCTTCGGTTGGCCCCTGATTACTGCCTGATTAAATAGAAATGAAAAGATTAGACTAAATGTTCTTCAATCTACTTGACTGATGACTTAAAACATTATCAACCCATTGAATAAAATGAAGTAGGGCAATCTGGACAGAGCAAATAATTGTGGAATTTTAAAATGTTGATCTGGGAGAAGCCATAATAGAGCTCAATATCAATCTCTCATGTGATAGAGGATAGTGCAAATCTGGTTTTGGAATTTGCTTCTGTACTTATATTTGAATACGAGGGTATCTGATCTGGGACTTCATGGTCATTAATCATTATTCTATTGTGTTTATTTCAATAAATAAACATAAAAGCTAAATATTTAATGTGCATTATAAAGCTGCGAGTCTGGATCCCACCAACTTCCCCAATGCTGAGTGGTCCTACTCTCCCTCCTTACCATAGGAGCCTTCTTCCCCATCAGGTTCATCGTGCCCACCTTCTTGCAGTCACCTACAGACTCCCAGGGGAACCCTTAAAATCCTTTGAGAGTGTAGCCCTGGATACCCATCCCTGTCCCCAGAACTACTCTTCACATAATTCTTACTGATTTTAATTTCTATTCACAGTTCTCATTATCTGCACCTCCTGTCTTCTAGGGATCTCGTCCACTTGACCTTTGTTACCTGTTCCTTTGCATGACCAATACACAAGGTCATGTTGGTAATAGAAAGTCGAACTTCCTACTCAACATTTCCACTTGGATGCATAGCATCTTAGACCTGTATGTCCACAACTGAAGTCCTGAGTTTTAAAATTTTGCTATAAACTGGCTCCACCCATGGTCTTCTCCATCTCAGTTAATGGCAGCTTCATCCTTTAGGTGGCTGTCAGGCCCAAAACCTTAAAGCCCTTCGTTTCCCTTTCTTTTACAGTCACAGCCAACCCATCAGCAGATATCATCCTTTTTATCTTGGAAATATATTCAGAATCTGACCATTTCTCATCCTCTCTGTGGCAACCCTCATCCTTTTAGTTTCCATTGTCTTGCCCCTGCCTGGATTATTTTAGTAGCTTCTTAACAGGTTTCTATTTCTACCCTTTAACCTATTCACCACAAAGCGATCAGAGTAAACTTTTAAAGAATAATGCCACTTCCATGCTCACATTTCTCCAGTGGCCTCCAGTCTCAGAGAAAAGGCCGGGTCCCATAGATGCTTACAAGGGCTTATCAAACCTGGCTCCTAATCGCCTTTCTGATCTTATCTGCTGTCACCCTCTCCTATTTCCTTTCCTTCAGCCACTCTGCCTTCCTTGCTGTTGCATCAACAGGCTAAGCACAGTCTTGCACTGGGGCTCCTGTACTTGCCATTCTGACTGGAATGCTTTCTCCAGACGCTCCCGTGGACCTCCCATGGTGCTCCCATGGCTCTCTTCCATGCCACATTTAAGAGGTCTTCCCTGACTATTCCACTTAAAATAACACACCCAGGCCCCTCTGTTCGTACTTAGCATGCCCTGTCCTTCTTACCTGGCTTGTTTTCTCCATAGTATTTAATCATCACCTGTGTATTTGTTCACTCTAATTTCTCCCACTAGAATGTAAGCCCCATGAGGACAAGGACTTTGTTCAATGTTGCAAATAGCTCTAAAACACTGTCTAGCATTTTAAGATTTCAGTAAGTATTTGTTAAGTAGTTGAATGAATACATGAATGAATTCCATTTTCTTTGTCTAAGGCATACTTCTCTTACCTTCTTCTTTGTTCTCATTCATCCTCTAAGTCTCAGATTAAATGTCATGTTCTTGGAGAAGCTTCTTTCTGATGTTCTAATCTAAAGAGATCCTTTTGTCACAATCTCTTAATTTCCTTTTCTTTCATAGTGCTTATCAGAACTCACACTTTCATATTATTTGTGTGATTTTTTAGTGTCTGCCTTTACTGTCTGCCCACTCTAGTCTAAGTTCCATAAGCACAAGAACTATGTGTGTTTTGTTTTCTACTGTAACTCTTAACACTGAGCACAGTACTAGGCACAGAATGGACACATGCATTTCCTGTCTTGTTGAATGAATGAATGAATAAAAACATTTGAACAACACATGAAAAGCCATGAAGCTCTTGCATCCTACCCCCTTAGCTCATCCCCCTCTCCTTTTCAGCTCCACAAGAGCTGATGAAAAGGAATGCTAGTCCAAGAAAATCTTTGTCTTTCAAGAACTTCCTTTTGGTCTTGTGGGAGGAAGGTGCTTTTTATACTAGTATGGGGCTATTTTTCCTTCCCTTCTATTAATGGCAACATTGGTAAATAGGTGCTAAATAGAAGTATCTCTGTAAAATAATTCCAGATTTTTCCTGATCCACAAATAATGAGAAATATGGGATGTAACTTCTTACTATGCTTTTTATTTTTTCTTTTAACCAGGTACACATCCAAGCCTAAAGAAAAATTGGTCTATGCCATTTTTCTTAAATGGCCCATATCAGGACAGCTGTTCCTTGGCCAGCCCAAAGCTATTCTAGGGGCAACACAGGTAAGAGGGAATTTTACCTTTTTCCTTTAAATTGCTGATTAGAACACCTTGATGCAAACATAACTTTTAACTTTAAGGGGAGCCTTATGTCTGTTCCTCTTACACCTCATAAATGGAATTTCAAAATGAGCTCCAGCCAAGTGTTGTACTCACACTGTAATTCCAGCACTTTGGGAGCTGAGGCAGGAGGATGTCTTGAGGCCAGGAGTCTGAGACTAACCTGGGCAATATAGCGAGACCCATCTCTACAGAAATTTTTTTAAAGGTTAGCTGAGTATGGTGGCACACACCTGTAGTCCTAGCTGCTCAGGAGGCTGAGGCAGGAGGATTGCGTGAGCCCAGTAGGTCAGGACTAGGGTGAGCTATGATTGCACCACTTCACATCAGTCTGTCTCTGGAAAAAATAAAACAAAACAATAAAATCAAATCAAATGAATTTCACCAATGAGAGTGTTTAGTCAAAACCTTTGAAACTTTTGGTTTCCCAGAAAATTAAGCTGATGAAACAGCTACAATATCTCTATGCATGACACTGTAAAATAGACATTATTCTTCACAGTCATTCTATGTTGTTTAAGTTCATTGCATGTATCCAAAATGATTCTTCTCACAAAACTAGAATTTAGATACTTTCCCTGACACCCTGCTCCAGAACATATCTAAATACAAGATGTCATGACTCTACTATTTTATGTTTATAAAACATGTTGGAGAAAGTTAGAGATTAATTTAACTGTTGTAACCACCAGATCTGGCATTGAGTTCATGCTGATATATTTTATAGCTTATTTTTTAAAATACATTATCCCTTTGGAGGGTAATTGTCCATATGGTTCTCCTTGCATCACCTTTCTGCGTTTCATTTCTAATACGTGTGGTTGATGAGGCAGAAAGAAGATGAGTTCAAATCTAATGCTTAATTATAGCTTAGTAGCCCAGGTATGACACTGATTATATTTTTATTTTATTTATATTCTTTTTGGTGCCAATTAACATCATTATTTAAAAGCTCATGTGTTTTATTTTTGAATTGATCCACCTGAGAAGCAAAATTTTTGGCTCAAAATAACCCTAGAATATGTAGAGAACTTATTTGAATTTGCTTAGTATACTAAGACTAAGGATATAAAACAATTACAACAACAATTGATCAAATTTATGTATTATTGATAGTGGAAGTTATTAGAAAATCTGGGGGAGGAACACTGACTAGATAAGCCTTACTTGGGCAGACTGGTTTCAGAGTCATTTTCTGCTCCTGATCCTCTCTTCAGCATTTTCTCCACTCTGACACTCCATTCAGCCTTTAAAATTCTCCTCCCTCAACCCCTGAACACTCTTATTTACCTCTTGAGAGTAAAACAGAAGCAAGAATATAGAGGCAAGATACATATACTCAAATTAGATGAACAGTGAATTGTGAATCACTAAATAAAGGTAACAATGAATCTCTGGCCTCAGTTCTTTTTTTCAGAATTACTAATCACTCCTTCCCAACAGAAAGTGGGTGACAGAGATAAATTTGGAGATGCTTGCATGTATGTTTTTAATTTCAGGTGAAACTACTGGGCCATGGACAGCCACTTAACTGGATTTCTTTGGAGCAAAATGGCATTATGGTAGAACTGCCACAGCTAACCTTTCCTCAGATGCCTTGTAAATGGGGGTGGGCTCTAGCACTAACTAATGTGATCTAAAGTGCAGCAGAGTGGCTGATGCAGCAGTTATGTCTAAGACTAGGAACTATCAGGTGTCTATAATTGTAGGACATGGAGAAAGCAAATGTGCAATTGGTTAAGAAAAATAAAGTAATTATTTTGGCAATTCAGCCTTTTCCCTTTTCCCTGCTAAATTAATGTAACCATTTTAACTCGCCAGTGCACTTTAACATTAAAGTCTCTTTACATTGATGTTTCCATATGTAACTCAGAGATGAGAATTTCTTCACATTAGAGTAGCTAGGAATTGGTGGTATTGTGGACTGAACTGAAAATTTTATGTTGAAGCCATAACCCCCAACATGACTGTACAGTTATGAGTCACTTAACGAAGGGGATATTTTCAGGGAAACACAATGCTAGTCAATTCTTTGTTGTTGTTGTGCCAACGTCATAGAGTGTATTTACACAAACCTAGATGGCATAGCCTATTACACACATAATCTGTATGCTATATAGACTATTGCTTTAGGCTACAGACATATATAGCATGTTACTGAGTACTGTAGGTAATTGTAACACAATGGTATTTGTGCATCTAACATATGGAAATATAGAGAAGGTACAGTGAAAATACTGTAAAAAATGGTGCACCTGTATAGGGCACTTAGCATGAATGGAGCTTACAGAACTGGAAGTTGCTCTGGGTGAGTCAGTGAGTGAGTGGTGAGTGAATGTGAAGGCCTAGGACATTATTAAACACTACCATAGACTTTAGAAATACTGTTACACTACATTTATAAAACATGTTTTTCTTTAATAATAAATTTATGTAAGCTTACTGTAACTTTATAAACTTTTAAGCTTTTAAAACCTTTTTGGCTCTTTTGTAATGACACTTGGCTTATAACATAATCTCATTGTGCAAATATACAAAAATATTTTCTTTCTTTATATTCTTATTCTATAAGCTTTTTTCTACTTTTAAAATTTTTAGGTTTTTACTTTTACAGAAACATACACATTAGCCTAGGCCTAAACGGGTCAGGATTATCAATGTCACTGTCTTCCACCTCTACATCTTGTCCTGCTTAGGTTTTCAGGGGCAAATACCCATGGAGCTGTCACCTCCCATAATAACTCCTTCTAAAATATCTCCTGATGGACATGCCTTACGTTGTTTCACAGTTAACTTTTTTTTTTTTTTAAGTAGGAGTACACTCTAAAATAATGACAAAATGTATAGTATAGCAATACATAAACCAGTAACTTAGCTGTTTATTATCAAGTATTTTGTACATTATATCATTTTATGTGCTAGATTTTTATGACTGGCAGCACAGTAGGTTTACACCAGCATCACCATAAACAACATGATTAACGTGTTGTGCTGCCTTATGATGGCTATAATGTCACCAGGTGAAAGGAATTTTTAGCTCCATTATAATCGTGTGGCACCACCAATTTATATGCAGTCCACTATTGACTGAAAAGTTGTTATGCAGTACGTGGCTATATTAGGAAATAGGGATTTTAAAGAGGTAACTAAGGTTAAGTGAGGTGACAAGGGGGGGAACATAAAGCCAATAGGACTGATGTCCTTATAAGAAGGGGAAGACACACCAGGGATACAAGTGCACAGAGGGAAGGCCATATAAAGACAGCGAGAAGGTGCCATCTGCAAGTCAAGGAGAGAAGTCTGAAGAAACCAAATCTGCTGACACCTTAATGTTGGATTTTCAGCTTCCAGAACTGTGAGAAAATAAATTTCTGTTGTTTAAGCTACTCAGGTTGTGTTTTCCATTCCCATTTGCTGCAATGTATGTTTATCAAAGGCTGAGTTTGTGACTGTAGTGGGTCAAATAGTTTATGTCCCTTGGAATGTCCCCAACAATTTGTGTCCACCTGGAACCTCAAAATGTGTTCTCACTTGAAAGTTGTGTCTTTGCAGATGTAATAGGTAAGTATTAGATAAGGTCATATTGGATATGGGTAGGTTCTCAATCCAATGAGAGTATCCTTATAAATGACAGAAAAAGACACAGAGACAGAAGGTCATGTGATGACTAGGCAGATACCGAAGTTATGCTGCTGTAAGCCAGGGAATTTATGGGGCCATTTCAAACTGGAAGAGGCAAGAAGTACTGGAAAGATCTTCCATAGAGCTTTCAGAGGGAGCATGGGCCTGCTGACACCTTGATTTTGGATTTCTAGCCACCAGAAGTGTGAGAGAATAAATTTAAGCCACTTACTGAGTGGTAATTTGTTATAGCAGCTCTAGGAAACTATAACAGTTACCAAACAAATTGATTATGCCAGTTGAACTTTTTATGATGATTGTATGAGCCAATGATGCAAGTGTGAAGAGGTGTAGTTTCTGTGAAAGCCAAGTTAAGTACTTTGGAGAGACTAAAGCTTGTTGACTTTAAAAATTTAAAAAAAAAAAAAGCTATTAATTGTGGGTGAAACTGTTCTAAAAGATTGGGGGAAAATACAGTAAAAATTTTCAAAAATTCTGCACCTCTGGTTCACACTTATATAATGTAATGCATGTAATTTGTACAAGAAAGATAATTAGAGCCAGGTGCAGTAGCTCCAGCTTGTAATCCCAGCTACTTGAGAGGCTGAGGTGGGAGGATCTTGAGGCCAGGAATTCAAGAAAGACAAGTAGAGAACATCTGTCAGCAGACCTATATGGGAAGGCAGCTATGCTACGCCACTATATCACCAACAGCCCAACTGAGCAGACCTACATTAAAAGGTTGGAAAAAACCTGGATCCTATAGTAAATAAGTGACAAATAAAGATATTTAAAGTTAAAATGTCTATATATGTATTTATGACACCCTGATTTAAATCACTTTTTAGATTAACCAAACAACTAAAGGTTTCTGATGAGAGGGCTCCTGCTATACTATTAGGAGGCAGATTTGTACTATCTAAGACCAATTGACCTTATTTTTATATTTACTTATTTTTGGGGTACAGCATCTTGCTCTGTCACCCAGGCTGGAGTGCAGTGGTATGATCTCAGTTCACTGCAACCTCCACCTCCTGGGTTTAAGCAATTCTGCCTCAGCTTCCCAACTAGCTTTAAATACAAATGGTTTTTACCTTGTCATCTCTTCCACTGCCACAATTATACAGATGCATATGATTCCAGGTCATAATTTTCAGCTGATCAGATTTGTATCCTTACAAGGCCACACCTGTTTAGTTTCACATTTTCCCTGGATGAAATCCTGGGTTAATTTTGTTGGAAGAGATGTGTGCCCATTACGCACATATTCCTTACTTTCCCAAAATGCTATTTTTCATTAACCCTATTAAAAATGAGAATATCTCCATGTTTTGTCAACTTTTGAAAAGAGGCATTTTCCCTCCTCTTTACTTCTTTTTG